TACTGTAAATCTACTGTAAAATTATACTGAGTTAAATCTCGCTAAAAGTTCTTGGCTGTCATAGAAGCAGAGGGCTCTTAATGTCACATTTCTCTGAAGGGATGTGAAGTCTTAAAGCTAAGATTTCATTAGTGAACAATTTCATTAAATCTCCTCTGCTGATATATATAGACACATAATCCAGTGCTGTTCAATTTTCAAGCCTGGCAATTTCAACCCAGCTTAACTGAAATATTATCTAAATTGCATTTTTAAACAGGTGATTGGCAGTGAAATGGCAGCATTTCCTTCAATAGTAGAATACGGCAGCTTGTAAGGGAGATGAGAGAGAGCAGACGAAGAAGGGAACGAAGACAGAAAAGGTCAAAGAGAAAGGGAAAATAATCAGCTTTGGTTGGTTGGTTGGTTTTTGTATTTTGAGCACAGCCTCCCACTATGCGCCGAGCAAGGAGAGGACTCTACCCTTTTGTTCATCTTCAGGTTCTGCAAATCCTGCAGCATTTGTGAAGTCAGCTCAGCCCTCACAGCAGGTGGAAGCTCCCAGCCCCACAGCAGCTGTGCACAGACTTGATCTTCAGGTTTTCACACACAGTCCTCAACCTCCCCTGCCCTAGCCTTCCTTCCCTGCTTCTTTTTTTTTCTTTTTTTTATTTATTTTTTTTTTTAATGCAGAAAGCAGTAACCCTTTGGCCCAGCTAGCCCCTCGCTATCAGATTCCAACAGAGGAATTCTGGGCATGAAGCTTCACAGGGCAAACAGGTCTCCCGCCTTCTCTAAATGTCTCCCCCCTCCCTCTCTCCCTCCCTCTCTGTTGCTGGGAATCCACCCTTATCCAGTGCAGCGGGGATGATATTTTTGAATTGTGTTTATTTGTTGGCACCCTGGTGTGAAAGCGTTTCCCATCAACTGCATATTAATCTTGTCAGCAGTTTGTGAACATTTTCCTCTCTGCCCTAAGTAGTCCATGACTTTTGGGTCTCTTGCTCTCTTCCAATCCCCACTTCTTATTGTAATTAAAGAGAATCTAATCTCCCTGGCTTTTGTTAAAGTGACTTCAACATGTCAAAATAGTAAGAAAGGGATTTGTTTAGCCTTAGAAAAAGTGAAGTTAGAAAAGTTGTAAATCAGCTTTTAGAAAACATAGACGGGGATGTAGGCACTTTGTCTTTGCATGCTCAAATGAACTTTAAAAGTCCTCAGTCATATGTTCCTCTACTCACTGGAACCTATGCTAGGTTTTCCTTATCTTGAAAACTCCAGGGACATTGCAAACATACAAAACTGTATAACTTGAAAATTTTGAGTCCATTATCTATATTCATTGATACAGCCTTTTGCTCACTATATCCATCAATACATTCATACTTCTGTTACTTGATTACCCAAACATGCCTGGGCATATTTTTGAAATCCCAGATTCATGATCTCTGTTTCTTGGGTACATTGTGATTGTTATTTCAGGGTTGTGCTGGAGAACTGAATTGAGTAAATTTGCACTGAACAGTAGTCCTCAGGAAAAGGCAATATTAAAATCTCTCTGACTGATGATATGATGTTGGGAACAGATGGGGACATTGCATAGTGGGAATTATAAAAGAGGTAACTGAGAGTGCCCATCACACAGGGACTGCACATATCCATCTCCCCCACCCCCATCAGAGAGGAAGGTGGTCTCCCCACCCCACTGGAAGACTGGAACTAGCAGAAACCCTGTACCTTTTTTGCTTGCAAAGATTCAGATGTCCAAATGGGTCCTGGGGACACTATCAGAACACCCAGCTATATCTAGGATGGGTAGTGCCAGTTTGAAATAAGCTCTAGCTGATTAGAGGTGGAACTGCTTGTTTATACAGCACCCCAAGCTGTATTTACCATCTTGTTTTCCCAGAACCCTTGCTAAATAGCCCAACCAAATGGAGAGGTTCAGGCAATACCTTCTGGTTCCTCTATGGTAAGAGACCCAGGTATTTGGAAAACTCAGAACATGCAGTCTCATCCTTCCAGATCTAAAACACAGATGGGCATAATTCAGAGAAGCCTCTGAACTATGCCCATCTGTGAGCTAACTAAATGTCTTCTGTAGCTGTTTGGCATTCATATGATGGTAGTAACTCTCAGCCTTTCCACCTGCATTAGGGTGTGACTTTTGCAGGGCCTTAGCCAATGTGCCATTTCATGTTTTCATTACTTCAAAAGCAGATCACTGCTATGTACCAGGGAGGGCTGATACTTGAAGTAAATTTCATACAGATTGGGAAGTATTACTTGCCTTCTAAAGGAGCATCTTCCTGAGATAATGGGCCCCCATAGCCCTGGGATTTGTACCACATGCCTATTAGGCTCCAACTTTCTCTTTTTGACCCAAAATAGCCAGAACCAATATGCACAAAACATCCCCTCTTCCCAGGATCCTGTCCTCACTGAAGATAGGGACAGCTGACAAATCTAGACCCAGAATATCCAAATCACATAATATCATATCACATAATATCATATCATATATCATATCATATCATGTATTCTTCTTTGTGGTGTCCAAAATTGCCCAGATCTATCAACCTTTTGGGTACACCGTATAAATTATTGATATGATCAGTGTTTCAGGAAAAGGATAAGCTGTAGAAAAGAAGGCAAAGAATGAGCTTTTATCTATGTGAAGGAAAGTGGACAGTGGTTTGAATTTATATTGTTGAGTAAGAATACTCTGTGATGCTGGCTGGCAGATGTTTTGTAAGAATTTGATATTGCTAAGTACCTTATCAGCGCAGTATTCAGATTTCTATTGTTGTTACAAAGCACTTCACAGTAGGCAAACAGATTATCATCCCAAACAGAAAGGCCAACGACTTGGCAGAAAAATTAGCAACCTGCTTCCTGTGGTCTGAAAGTTAACTCTGATTTTTCTCTTTGACAGCCAGGTTTTACTACCACACTGTGGAGCTGTCTGCTTCAAGGCAGATTCTGCTTCCCTTCAAATACCAAGAGCAAGATCATGCTAAGCACTGAAAAGTGCAGCAAGGTGAGTAATCTTGTACTGATTGAAGACTAGAAATGCAACTGGCAGAGGGCATGTGACCCTCTGGATGCTTTAAATTCAACTAATTCCATAACTCAGCCTCTTCCTGCAAGATTTCATTTGCAAGGAAAATTTAATTTGCTTCCTGTCTGAATCCTCATCTCCTTGTTCTGCTAACAGAGCCACACCTTTCTATTCTAAATTCTCATAGTGCCTCTGCTACCAAATTTACATCAGATGCAAGTGTGCCACTTTGTTATTTATGTCAGCATCACCCTGGCTGGTACTAATGAGGCTTTGTGTGCCACAGGGCTGCAGTTTTTTCTTTTATTTATGTTAATGAGTCCTGCATAAAAGGTTTTGCCAAAGTCTAAAAACGTGCAAAACTGATGACATAATTGTGGGAGAGTCTGCAGGAATATGAAGCAGGATTAGGATACTATCAACAAATCAGAATTTAAGTATTGTTCCACTGGGCAAGGAGTGTTTTCAATTAATTTGTAATTAAATAAGGGAAGCAATTTAGTGAACTCAGAGAGATATTCCAGCAAACGGTTTATCTCATCAGTCTGAACCACACATTCCTCCAGAACAGGATCATTGTTTAGATCTTGGGCATGTTATATGATCTGACCTATAGGAGTAATTCAATAAAACATCAATATTTTCCTTCTATTAACCCTCAGTGTCATGCTGAATGGAGAGAGCTGCCTCTGCCTCCCTTCACAGTCCCCATTAGATCTATGCTCTCTCTAACTGGTTGGACAGGTGTTATCACTAAGCAGCCTGGGGCTTTCAAATATAGTCAAACCAGACATATTCTCCAGCCAATTTTCAGCACAGCACTGATGTGTGGAGGAATGGAGATGAAGCAATGGAGGGACAAACAGAGGACAGAGAACAATGCAGGGAAACACACACTGCTTTCACAGTGGAAAACATAGTGTCAGTTGAAGAGATTTCCAACTGACAAGATTTGCTAATTTTTTTCCTCAAAATATTCTTTATAAAATCCTTTTTCAATCAGACACAGAAGTATAAGGCAGTTTAAGAGGACCTGAGAAAAGACGAGCAATTCCAGATGGAGTTCTATGCATTAATATATTCAGGGCAGGCAGAGCAGGGATTTGTTGATTGTTTAAAGGGCTTAGTGCAACAGCTGGGCACATTTTGTGTATGACCAAAAGTAAGAGCACAAATGAATGCTGATGTCCAGACATCTGGCCTTATAGCTATTGTTCTTGGCTTTTTCTTTTTTTTTTTTCCATAGCCAGAATTATTCCATAAAGTAGACTGTGGGGAGAAAGAAAATTATGACATGAGAGAGAAGCCAAAAGAAGAGATTTAAGAGATAATTAAGAGGGAGAATAAGAAAGAAAAACAAAATGAGGTGCAACATGAGCATAAGGAGATACAGCAGGAGATGAAAAAGGTACAGAACTTTGGGACAGGGAATTAGAGAAAGGACTGAATGAAGTAGGAGGAGACAAAACAGGCAGAGGAGTAAAAAGAGAACCATAATAACCATATGCTGTTAAAGACTTACTGCAACTGCTGCTAAAGAAATGAAGACATATACATCTTTGGCATAGATTTTTTCCTTTTCAGGTCTCCACTCACTTTCCCTTCTCATCTCCCTCTCTGGTCCTAGCCTTCCCCTGTCATATTCATGGTAAGGCACTCATTTGGAAAAAAAACTTAAAAAAAAAAAAGAAAAATTAATTTATGGACAGTTTTTTCTCACATTGATCATATTCTGAAGTTTTTTTGGTTTTTTTTTTTTTAAGTTGTAATGGTATTATTGTTCAAAGAAAAATGTAGTCCTATCAGAAAGGATATTACATGGCTTTTGAGTCAGGACTGTTCCTCATTTTCTCATTGTGAAAACTATCAAAGCTTGGCTAAGTTCAAAGGTCACATTTTGATATGCACAGGTCAGAGCTGTGCATGTGAAGTCACTGAGGATTTTGTGTATTCCCTGCATGCATAAGAAGCCAAGTAGGTTGATTCTTATAATTACTGCTCCTGTAGTTAATAGTGGTAGGACAGACTCCCCTCAGGATTGTGATGATCTGCTACTGGCAATCAGAGAAAATGGTGGAGAAGACCTGCTGAATAGAAGCAGATGTGGAGGGGAGAGGGAAGGAATAAAAACCAACTGATACTGAGCAGGAAATTGACCAGAATGCTCAGGACAGGAATCTGAGTAAAAGGGAAGGCCACATTCAGAAGAATAGAGGAGGAGGTATCTGAAAAGGAATGACTCAGCTTGTGGAGAAGGATGGAGTTACAAGCTATTTGGAAACCTGTCAGACACAGAGGTGTGGCAGGAGAGTTATTTATTTGAGTAAGAGTTGTGTGCAAAGTAAAAGAGTTGGTCTACATAGAACCCAAGGCTGGAGAGGGAGCAGAGCATACAGAAGACAGAAAATAGGGTGAACACCAAGGGTGACTGAAGATTCTGAGAAGCTGCAGTGGGACAGAGAAACAGAGATAGTGAGAAACACAGGTAGGAACAAATTACTGTAATTTGTAATCACCATGGCAGAGAAACACTGATCAGTGAACTAGTCAATGGCACTGACACAAATCAGAGAAGGGGGTCAGAGGCAAGATCAGCCAAGAAACTGAGGCAGGCATGGGGGAGAAGGGATTGAACTACAACACATATCTATGAACAGGAAAAAGGAAGAACTGCAGCAAGGTTCAGGGAACAGAGATGGGACACAAGGATCACAGCTTGTTTGGAGCTGGCAGAGGAGATCCACGGTGATCACAGTCCCCATGGGAACAGAGTCTGCATCTCACCACTCCTGCCACACATTCTCTCCAAAATCCAGTAGTATGGGGTAGTACAAATTGTATGACCTCATCTCTTTTTCATGCTCCTTCACCCTCAAATAGCAAACCTCTGCTGTTACCAGTTGTTTCAGTTAGCTCAAGTGACAAAGGCTTCTGAAAGTGACCTTAAGTTATCAGTTGTTAAGGATGTCGATGTGATCCTACATAACTGGTTTATTTTTTCTTGAGCTCATCTTCCCTTTTTGAGGCCTAGGAACATAATTCAGAAAAATATTTTAATACAATACTATTGAACTGCTAAAACTTAAAAAGACTTTTAAGTTGCTTAAAATAAGGACAGCATTGTGAAGTATGCATCAGGTCAAAAGTAAGAGGTTATGTTACTGTATGAATTTAACCCTGTTTTTCATACGGTTTAATACGTTATACTGTATTAATTTCTATTTTGTATCTAACAGTGAACTCCATCTACAGCTTGATTTTTGGTATGCTGGGACACAGTGTTCAAAATACCTGGAAATGGTTCCAACAAAACAACAGTCTGCATCCTTCTTCAGCTACACATCCTGCAAAGAAAATTACTATGTCAGGAAAATTTTAGAGGTCCTCTCCTTCTTTAGAAAGTTCTCCTTTCCTACTCCAGCAGCTGTGATTCACCCTGTCCCTCTCAAGCTCCTAGAAGTAGGTCCCTTTAAATTAAGTAGTGGCCCTGGTAATTTAAAGTTAAATACTGCTTGAAAAATCAGATCATATTTTCCCATTTCCATTTAGCAATGGGTCCTTACATGAGTGTGACTTAAGCTTCTCTGCCCGTTCTTGAAACAACAAGGTGCTGTTATGTCTTATTTAGCTCAGAAACCTGTAAAGAGATTGATTTCCTTATGGAGAGACCAGGCAGGACTGGGTTACAGAACAACACAAACCTTTGGGCACGCAAAAATTGCCTTGGTTGTGGTGCTGTGGTTTTGTATTTACAGTCTGCCCAACTACAGGCACAGAACACAGCCACAGACTTGGCTTGTTCATCTTTGTTTTGGTTGCACCAACACCTATAAATGAAACAAAAAACCCAGAAAAGGGTTTCTGATCTTAACCACTGCTGAGCCTTTGCCCAGCTGTACAACTTCTGGCTTTCCCTCATATAATTCTGGAAGGACCAGAAGCTTGATGCTCAGTCATGTATGAACCTTCCCCTCTGCAGAAGGGAAAAAAAGTAGTTCTTATGAGGAGCCAAACAATACAGATGATAAGGTCAGAAGAAGCCATTGTGATCATCTCCTCCAGTCTCCTGCATAACACAAGGCATAGGTGTTTCCTAAATTATCTTATCTTTGAGTGATAGTGTCTATTACGCCATAATAAAACATCAATTTTGCCTGTTCCACATTAAATACATGCTGCCTTCTTTCCAGTCTGAACCAGTTTTTACCCACTGCAGAATACCAGGAGTTTGTTATCAGCAGTGGTCTACAGTGAAGACATCTGGTCCTCACTTTGCCTTACCTGTCACACTTGAATGACAGGATACTTCCACTGAATGGTGTCATCTCAGCAGTACAGCTCAAAAAATAGCCGTGGATTTGAACACCAGTTATCCATGACCCCCCAGCTCCTCACCAAGCATTACAGAGCACTGCTGAGAGAGACCATTCCTTTCAAAACCCATGGGGATTCGTAAGACAGGATGACTTTCAAAACACTGAAAATTGTTTATAATTGAAGTGGTCACTTATAAATAGCTCCCACTTGATGTCATGTGGCCAGCTTAATTAAGTAGTGTGGAGCGTGTGCGGTCATTCACCTCAGATAGAAAAATCTGTATTGGGCCTTCACCCTAATGTGAATTTCCTGACCTGACAGATGGGGATTGAGTGTCTGTTTATGCCAAGAGGAGTTTGCTAACATTATTCCTCTAATTACTAATTATACCAGTGAAAGGGGCTTTACGGCCAGAGTCCTGGATACGTGAAACTTGATCATCAGAGATTTGCAGGAAAGATGGAAGATTGATGGGTGACATCAAACAGCTGACAAGGAGGCCAAGGCAGCCAGACGGACAGCAGCTGCTCCAAGGGGCTTTGGGGGGTGGGAGGGGGCAGCTGCTCGGGGGGACAGGGGTCTGTGGGGGAGCAGCACAAGAACAAGCCATTTTAAAATTTTGCACCCCCCTGTCATTTCAGATATAAATGCTCTAATCTCCTTGGGCTTGAGGCTGCCTGGGAGAGCGCATCCACCAACAGGTGGGAGGCAAAGGCAAAGGCAGAGCAGCGGGGCTGAAGGCAGTTGCTGCTACAGAGGGGCACCAGCTTCAGCTGCAGCAGAGGGCTCCACAGGACACACAGAACAGTGGATCAAAGAAGACAAGGTGGAGGATGTAAAACATCTCCTCTGGGCCTCAAGTTTTTCACATCCAAGCCTGGATCTCAGTGTGTCCATTCCCTAAGACTTGCTCCAGTCAGCTACAGAGCAAGGCCAAGAACACTGTGGAAAGCTCCCTTGCAGGGTAGTTTCCTTCTCTGAAAGAGACAGGGGTTGCATAATGTCATGAAATTGCATCAACACCTGTTTAAGGGACCAGACCTAAATCATCCTAGTGGTCTGTGACTCAATGGTGGCATCAGCATGCTGCCTGATTCTCTGAAAGATATTTGGGGCAGGCTGGTTTGTGTTTCTCCTGCCCTGCCAGCATCTGGTGGGCTGGTGACTGGTACTGCATCACAGGGCTTGTACAAGTTTGGTCTCCAGGGATCCTGCCATAGTGTACTTTATGTGGTCTGCAAACCACTGCTTTCCTTAGCATTCTTGGGAATCACAGGGACTGGCTGCCAGAGCCTCCCCTACATGCTGTGCTGCCTAAACTTCAGATCTCCCCAGCTGCAGCCACCCTGCCTGTGGAGACTCTGTGGAGACATGGAGACTCCCACACCAAAAGGATCCTTCTTCAGCTAGAGGAGTTAAACCACCATCTTGAATGACATTCCCTGAGGGGACACAAAAGTCCTGGTGCTCACAGAGCTACCCCTGTCCCCACCAGGAAGAGGATTAATTATCATGAGCTCACACCACTACATTAGCAAACCGAAGCCCATATCCTGCCCAAACCCTCTATTGTACAGACCAAGCAGAGGGACCACTGGAAACTCACAAACTGGGAGACTACCAGAAGTTGAGAGAAAATAGCTTTCACTGCCCTGGAGCAGTAGGCATCTGGCTGATTTGTATAATGTTAATTAGAAGTCTAATATTGAAAAGGGACAAGTGCTTGGTTTTGCATTCCACGAATATGAAGGAAGTATGGAGACAAACTGAACTGTCCTTATGAAAATCACTTTTTGCTTAATTGTAACAGAGCACAGCAGCATTAGCATAAGGATGAGTAGATCTGTGATATTAGAAACTTTTCCACTAGTAGAGTAAGCTGAATTTCAACATGGTATGGTACACAGTGTACATGTACATCAAAATATAAATAAACTCTACTGCCATCTAGCCAACAATCGAGGTCTCTACCATAAGCTCTATCTTGGGTAACAAGTCTAGCTTTCACCAGATTTGTCAGAATATTTGGATAATTTGGAGTATTTTCCAGATCATGAGTGTAAGTCAGAAACAACCAAATGG